AACAGGGTCAACTGTAATTTCATGTGCAACATCTTCTCTTTTTACAGATTATTGGCATGATTTTCAGTATGGTCCTATGCTGTGCAATTCGGAACAGCAGGGAGGTGATCTAACCTGGACATGACCTTTCACCTTTGACACTTAACCTTTGCTGGACTTGCATATACAACAATAGCATTCCAACAAAGTTCAAGGTGTTTTTCTGCCACTCAGGAGCCGAAAACAAACTCCACTTTCATAATCCTGTACACCTCAACCAACCAATGGTTAGTCCAGCCTAGTTGGTTAAAGTCTATCAAATAGCTGGATTGTCTTTATTTAATGCCCGCTTTGGAGCTGGATCTTCCAAATGCGACTAAAACAAGGCACCTTTCTATTATTTCTTAAAGTCGTTTTAATATCATTTCGATTTTGACTTCAGTTCTAGTGCACATTGATCAGCTCTTTCTGCGAGGGTTTGCAGATGTATGTATTGATGCTATTCTAGGCTGTTGCTGCGTGGCTTCACATGTCAGGTAAAAATATTGTGTAATGTGATGCCAGGGCTTCTGTGGCAAACCCACAGCTGCTGGGAACATTGATAAGAAGACCCACAGATGCCTTTCACTTTACATTTGTACGTAAACAAAGTAGTCTTCTACATCACGACACGTTCCAAACGCAAATAAACATTACGGAAGGATCAGAACGACATGCACATGCGCACAAAACTCATCTTCAGAAGAATCCTTGCATACATATCGTCCAGTAAGCCCTCTTAAAGGGACAGCTCACCCAAAAATTGTGTCATTATTTACTCACCCTCATGTTGTTCCAAACCTGTATGTGTTCCTTTGAACACAAAAGAAACTTTGAAGAATGTTGGTAACCAAACAGTTGACGGTAGCCATTGACTTAGTATGTAGAAAAATACTATGGAAGTCAATGGCTACCGTCACCAACATTCTTCAAAATGTCTTCTTTTTTGTTCGACATCTGAAAGAAACTCATACAGGTTTGGAACAAGTCGAGGGTGAGTAAATGATGATTTTTAGGTGAACTGTCCCTTTCTTCCCCTCTGAATTTCTCCATGTCCTTTCCGCTTCAGGAAAGGCACACTAACACATATTCCCAGCTCTGCTTTCATGCGTTTGAACTCACGCTAACATCGATGATCGGGTTTCTGTTATGCAATAGCCGGGCTCATCTGAAGCCCCCACTGATAGCGGTACAGCCCGGTATTCTCTGGCACGATAGAGCCAAATCCTCTCATTCTCAAGGTGGATCTTATGGTGTAGAGTTGCCTGATTATTTTACACATGTAGCTAAGTAAAGACTCGAGGCTGAAGATCCACTGACGCTGTCTTGTGCCTTCTACCACCCAACCATCTGCGCTGTGAAAACGTGAAAAACATTTGAATCATTTGCTTGATTCATTCAACAGTTGAGGATGGTTCAAGCAGTGTGCTTAAGTGGATTTTTTTTTTTCAACATACATGCATTTATATAAATTGCATGAATACATTATACATACATTTGTTGACTTTAAAATAATTGGGAGACTGACCATGTGACTTCCTTTGTGCAATGTCACACATTCACTTAGTTAATTAGTGAGTGTCTTTTTTTTAGTTAGTAGTTTTTGTGATTTTATTGGATAGGATGGGGATGTTGAGACAGGAAGTAATGAGAGAGGGAAACAGGATCAGGAAAGGAACTCAGGTCACTCGAGGCGCATCTGCGCCATATGTCGTATTTTGAGGTTTAAATTAGATTTTGTTTCTCAGATTTTTCAAACACTTTTCACACTTTTGAACTCCACATTAAAAAAAAAAAAAATGGTCAACTATCCTTCAACTTTAAATGATCAAATTCAGGATTCTGGAATGAACACTGAAATATCTCCAAGTTTTAATGAATCAAATTTCATTAGCGAAATTCCAGCAAAATTTCGTGGACAAAAATGGTCCATTTTCCATGCATGAAGCACAGCTCACACAGAAGTCACTTTCAAACCAAGCAACTTTCTGTTGGTCAAAGCAGAACATTTTTGACCAACTTGAACATGAGCGAAATCTATGTTATTCGCCCTCATGCGAAACTCCCAAACATGCAGATTCCTATTGAAATGACTGGATTTCGCTTGTGAAATTTCGCCGAGCAGCAGTATATGTGAGTGTATCTTCAGTCTTAAATTCTATGTACATATCTGTGAGAGTTTCATGAGTTGTCATTGTAGTTGTAGCGATCATGAATATCTGTATTGTGCGGTTAATGTGTATAGAGTCAGTTTTGGCCAGTGTACAGCAACTTGTGTTTCATATTTTGCATTTGAATTTTAAGGTGCCTTTTTTTATTTATCCGAAAAGACAACTTCGTATTTGGTTGAAGGTTTTTTTTTTTTTTTTTAATGGAAGGATTGGAAAAGGGATGAAATGTCTTTTTTATTAAGTTGGTTGGTCAGATATATTTCTGCTGGTGCATCACTGCTGAAGTTCCTCAAGTTGAAGCGGCATTAGAGTAGCGATTAGGATATGTCGTAGTCGATGCTAACAGAGAGTAACACATGAAATAAGTGTTTCGTTCACATTAAGTGTTGATGTAGATCTGTCCTCATACCCAAAAGCAACCCAGTCGTGGTTGTTCAGACTGTAAAATAACTAGTGTGGAGCATGTCGTGTGCATGGCTTTCGAGTAGAGGCTCTGTTGTAAACTATTTTTAGTGTGTTATTCCTACACTTTGTGTAAACAATGTCGAGATTTTTTTGTACTGTAAACATAACACTGCAGTCTTTTGATGTTAGTGTTCATAATGTGTGTGTTTAATTTATTCTCTGGAGAGAAAGTTCAAAACAGCATTCAAGTTTCTCAGGAACATTGCAGCACGAGAACAAATAAACTTGTTTGAAGTTTCTGATTCTTGTGGTTTTCAGATTTTCAAATCACCAACAGTATGTTGCTGATATGCAACATATTAAAATTTTAATGGGTGGCCCGACTTTTCCAAGCAGACCGACTAGGATATACCGCAGTACCTTAGTTGGCCCCCTCATCACATTACATCAATACTGGTTGTCTTTTTAACTGATTGCAATGGAAGTCCCTGGAAGTGAAATGTTAGTAGCACAATCGAATCCATGTTGTATCACATGACATGGGCTTGAGTCTTATATCGTGTGTGTGAGTGTGAGTGTGTGTGAGTGTGTGTGAGTGTGAGTGTGAGTGTGTGTGTTTGTGTGGCACCAGCTTGGCTGTAGGTGTAAAGCTTCTGCTACCCAATTCATTCTAAATATAGATCATGCAGTTTTGTCACGTTATTTAGGCCCACCAAGTAGAGATTGAAGATGAATTAAAAACATTAAAAATTACAATGATTTTAATATGAAACTATTTCATTAAAAAATAATTAAATAAAAAAAATGACATTACAAGTTCGTAGAAAAGCTCAGAAATGTATTCATTTTTGAAAATTATTTTGTTTACCTCTTGTATTCCTTGCTAGACAAGTCAAATGCTTCTTCTGTATGTAATTGTATTTATATTGAGCAGGAAGTTGATCATGTTTTTAAATACTTTGAATACAAATAATTGCATTATAGTCGCTGCTTTATAGCAGGACTTCATTTTGCCTCGTCTTTCTGGCATGAAATGCACGTCAGCTGCAAGTGAATGCTATGCAGGAAGCACTAGAACCAGGCTAAAGTTTCATCTGCAGTGCACAGTGTGCACTTTTCACCAACACAGATGTGTTCTTAGTTAACACTCGCCAAGCACTTTAGATGTCTGTACAGTATATTAGTGAGTTTTCTTTACTGCATCTCATGCGTTATTTGAATCTTTAGTTTTGTAATTTTGCATTAAAGCACATATAATATAATACATACTGTACAAAACCATACTCAAAATCCCAGTTTTTGGAATGGTCCAGAATGTCTATCCAGGCTCTTGAATATGACAGTTTAACAAGGTTAGGTTAACCAGAATGTCTTTTAATTCTGTAAAAGTAAAACCTCACTTCAGCAGGAATCAAACATCCTGTCTCTGTGTGTGTCTCTTCAGAGTCATGTATATTATATAACAATGTCCTCACAGGTGTATCTCCACGCTAATGTCCACATTAATCAGCAGTGCCTCTGTAATATTGTGCATACAAAACGTCACAAGAAAGGTAGGACACAACTGGTAATGGAGGACACACGTATAAAAAAAAAGGAGTGCATGAGTCATGGCCGTATGCTTTCAAATCAACCCTCACTGAGGATAAATCTGACTGTCTCTGACCATACATTTCCAAAAGAAAAAGAAACATAATCATGTGCAATGATATAGCTTCCTGAATAAGCCAGTTGAATATGCTTAAGGTAGCATGTAAAGACGTGAACTTAAACTCTAAGCAATTAACAGTCTTCTCCAACAACCGTTTGTTTCAACACACTCGAATAATTATACAACACATAATAGTTTGTGCAAGATGGCGAAATTGTATACTCAGAAAAAAAAGGTACAAAATCTGTTACTGGGGTTTTACCTTAAAGGGTAGCAGGGGTAACAAACTCAGTTCCTGGAGGGCCGGAGCCCTGCAGAGTTTTGTTCCAACCCTGCTCCAACACACATACCATGTAGTTTTCAAATAAACCTGAAGGACTTGATTTGTTGGATCAGGTGTGTTTAATTAGGGTTGAATCGAAACTCTGCAGGGATCCGGCTCTCCAGGAATTGAGTTTGACACCCCTGCCCTAAAGAGTGCATAGTAGTACCTTAAAAGTACCTATAAGTATTTAAGTAGTACATATTAGTAACCCCAGTGTCAACTTTTGTACCACTTTTTCTGAGAGTGTATGATCTCCTATAACTTGGTTTGTATAGAAACATTCAACCTTTATAGGTATTTTCCAGATTACTGTGATGGTTTATGTTGTATGTATTTGTATGACCCAGATTTGAACAATTTTGCCATCTCATACAAATTGTCATGTGAGCAGGTTGGTTTGTTCTCAGATATTTAGTCGCATCATAGCTGCGTTGGTCTTTAAAGTTTAATTCAGGTGGTTTCATAGTTTAGACAGAGTAAAGGTTAAATGGAGTTTGCCCTAAGAGAAACTCCCCAACACCGATGAAGTAAACCACTTGAACAATTCCGAAGAGTGGAGCAATGACCAGCGCCCTGCAGCCGGCACCCTTCAGAAAAGCAGCTGGCCCTTCTTTGCGCATTATCTTTCTGTAGAAACAAAAAGCGGGATCATCATTAATACAGCAGAAACAGAAAATTGCATTAATACGTTTTCCCAGAATGTCCATTAGCTAGGTTGCTTTACCTGATGCAGTCTGCCACACCATTGTAGGTGTCTTCGTTTGCACTTTTATTGAGTGACTGCAGCCGGGTTTTCACAACTGGATAGAGATGGGATCAACCTTAGTCTTTGCACATACACTAACATTTACTCAAACAGGTGTTCTTAGCAAAACTTGAATGCTCACCATCACAAGGACTGACTGCCACAGCTGCTGTACATCCAGCCACACAGCCCGAAATAAAAGACCAGTAAAAAGGCACCTCGTCGTCCTCAGATGTCTTGCCCAGCTTGTTGATGTGGGCAAACAGCGGAAAGTAAACCACTGAGAAAGGGATGTCCCTGTAAGAAGACCCAAGGTATGTTTCACTAATGTCTCGAGAGATAACTCGCCCAAGTTGGACATTCCTGGATCAGCGTCCTTTGTCGAATGTACCTAGCAAACAAATACAGTCCTAACCCTCCACCTACCCCTAAAATCTGAGAGGAATGATAGGCTACTAAGAAAGTTTTTCAAGGCTTTAACTCTGCCATAACCTGACTCTAAAGTTGGACTGTTCGACGGTAGTGTTGTTCCAGGACTAACAAGGATGTTAAGCCAGGGACAAGTCCAACTTGGGTCAGCCATGTTACACCAGGGCTGTCCAATCCTGCTTCTGGAGTTTATCTCCAGCCATAATTAAACACACTTGAACCAGATCTTCAGGATCACTAGAAACTTCCAGGCTGATGTTTTGGGGCTAAACTCTGTAGGAAAGTGGCCCTCCAGAAGCAGGATTGGACACCCCTACTTTACACCAATATTTCCTTGTGGGATTTAGTTTAGAGGTACTGTGGTATGGCTTATTTAGGCCTGTGGTACTTGGACCACAGTTTGAGCAAAAGGATTGAATTTGGAATAGATTGGCCAAACATTTACGTTATAAGAGTCGTACCTCAAGAGGGTTGCTCCTAGACCTTTGTAAAGTCCCTGGATGCCCTTTGTGCGAAGCAGTTCCTGGGTAATCTGAATGGCTGACACTTTCCTGGTTGAAGACACTGGGCCCACACTGTACGAACAGTTCAGGACTGGACTGGCTGTTCCAAGTTTCACAGTGTGAAGCACGGGTAACTTCCTCTGCTGGGCCACTGAATGTAAAAATGGCACAGCCTGTCAAGGAACCTCCTGCATAAAGTAAACTTTACAAGTCTACAAAATCAGTGGTTCTAAACTCTGGTCCTGGGTATCCACCACTTTGCACAATTTGTACGTCTCTGTTGTCTGACACACTCAGTTCAGTTCATGGAGCCCGCTCTTAACGAGCTGATAATTTGAATCAGGTGTGTTAAATAAAGAAGAATATTCACTAATCTGATGTTTGGTGACATCATGAATATTAAGGGTATTGAAAATTGTAGAAGGTGATCCTGGGTCAGTAATTATGCCTCACCAAGTCGTCCTGCGTCCTGAAGCTGGATCTTAAGCATTTCCATTGGGGTTGTGACAATAACCTGACACATCCCTGCCCCACAGCCAGCCAACATTTCCTGAAACACGCTCAGCTTGAGCCTGAAATACAAGTGAGTATCATTCAATGCTTTTTTTCATTTAACTATTATTGAGTATTGTACAATTTCTTGATAAAAGCAGAGGGACCATACTCTCCCGTACTGAGCCGCTGACGGAAGAAATCATTGGCGGCCAGTTTGATGGCCTTCTCAGGAGTCACCAGTGTCAGGTTGACTGCTGCACCTGTAGGAAAAAACTTAACTGAAAAAATGTACTACTAACTTTAGTTAAGTTCAAAGTTTTGGGAGGAAATTCCTGCTTTGGGTCCTCGTATGATCCCTGACACTGAATCAATACAATGAAAAAAAATGTACGATTTCTTTGCAAATGTTGAACTTTGCAAGCTATGTCAAATATCTAAAAGTAAGTCACAGGAACTAACACCTATTACAGTCGAGAGGCTTTGGATCGGTGCCTCTTGTCAGTTTATGTAAATAGTGTAAAGTGCTGACTTGCAAGTTATTTTGCATTATGAAGATGTCCTCGGGGGCTTTAGATTTTAGGAAAAGATAAAGGTAAAGTATTCTATTAAAATTTCTAAAACTACTTACCTCTGTACATTCCAAAGTATCCCTCAGCTCGAACAGTCTTTATCAGACAGTCCATCCTAATCAAAATAATAATATGTTATTGTTGTCTACTGAGGTAAGTCACCATTCTAAATCTATAAAATGAATATTGAATAAACCGCACCCTTTTCACTAATCCATAGTTTTCTGAGAAAGAGAAACAAGTTTTCAGTTTCCATGACAGGTAATTCTCAGTTACTCCAAGGAGCTCTCTTTCAAAGAAAATGCTGTCTTGCTTATGGTTGTGTGAACTTGCAATCAGTGTTCAGTGTCAATTCAAATCAACTAAATGTTAACAATGTGAAATGCAAACATACATATTTTTGTAGACCCGTTGGCTTCCTCTTTGGTTCTGGAGTCTTGTCTTGGCAAGATCTATGGGAAACACACAGGTAACACCCACCAGTCCAGCAACTCCACCATTGATGAGCTTGGCAGGGAGGCTTGTGAGAAACAAAAGAGAGCAAATAAATAAATCAATACCTATTGTATTCCTAATGCATTCATTCACTCATAACCCACTCCTCCATTTAACAACTGTACAAAAATCAAGGCACTGTTTTGAAGGTATAGAAGAAAATGTCAAAAGAAGCAAGGCAATGTCAGGCTGACACATTCATTTAAATGCAACACTTCCCTGCGTGTATAAGAGTTAAACTGAACATGTTTAGACTAATTACAATAAAACTACAGCATCAAAAGCATTTTAACTGACACAGCAGACAGTGGTTCTGGTTCCATACCTTATTGGTTGTTGAGCCATGGTGAGAGGTTTGTAGTTTGGTCTGAGGACTGAGGTAGACAGAGGCGCAGTCACTATGCAAAGCAGCAGAGAGGGGTTATATACTGCAACCCCTCCCAGGAGCCTCAGGCAACACCGGCTGTTCACTCCCTGGCTGTGTGTCTCCACTGTGACTGACAGCATGGCCAATCAGAGGAGCAGGATCTTCTTACAGTATGCATGCAAAGAGACACTTACACTACCACACACACACTTGCATGCATGTTTAGGGATTTTCGATCAGATCAGTACCTTTAAGTGCATTCCTAAGTTTTAGAAAAAGTCTTTGGGGGGAAAAATGTAAAAAAAATAAAATAATTTTTTTTTAAGGATTATGGATTTCTTCCAAAGCATGCTTCTACATGTCTAGAATGTTCTGAACCGGAAACAGGCACATCTTTATAAATGGTAATATAATAGTATATAGAAATATAAATAGTACTGATCTAAATAGAAGGTTACTGGTCTGGACATCAAAATATTATATATTGATTCTGTCCCAAGAATCAAATATCATTGTGCCTTTGATCGAGAGCCATTTCAATCGATTTCAAGAGCCTTAATCTCACTTCACCTAATTATAGGTACACCTGTAATAAATATTTCATACGTCACTAGAGATAAAAGCAATGAAAGTCAAAGAAGTAAACAAAGTATTGAATTTAAATTATAGATTTTGACAATCCATGTTACACTGTATTTTAATGTACAAATTAGAAATATATTTTTTATTTGTAAATATATACCCATGGTACTTGTGCCATTTTATGAAGGCTAATTATAATGATGGCTAATTATGTCTAATTGTGTAAAGTTGTGTTTGAACATATTAGTTATATTTTTTTAAGTAAAATTAAAAATCACAATAGTTAATGCAACAGTGAATCAATATGGCAAAATTGATTCAAATAAAGTACAATCAATGACATTCGAAATTGTAAATTTCCTAAACACAACAGAAATTAATTTTTCACTGGGAAACTACATTGCTATGTTATGACCATATAATTAATTTGACATTTTGTTATGATCCGTTCTGCTTTTTAGTCAAAGCTTAATGAATTAAAAATATATTGTAAAAACTGATTGTGATAGTTATGGAGCAGAACTGAGAACAAAAATCACACAGATCCCCACATTTGCATGCAATTTTCATAATATGGCAATGCCAGACCGAATTTGATCATTAATGTTTATTTTTCAGTTTTCACAACATTATTTATATAATTTCGTAATAAAATGTGTGAGTCATCATCATCATCAGTAACAGTTTAAAAATACATCTTTGCCAAATTGTCCTTAGAAATATTTTGTCTCTGACACACATACATACATATGTAGTTGGCACACCGTGCAATTAATATGTAAACATATTTTGCAAGCCTTTCTGATGTAACCTAAGAAATCAAATGAATTGCTCTCATACATAAAAGATCAAGGTAAGGATATTGTATTGTTACTGTGGAGATTTTAATTGTTATTTTTGTTTAGTATGTATTTTCTGGTGCTCTGGTAATGGTGTTTTTTCTATGGCTAGTCAAAATGAAGCATTTGCTTGTTTAAAAAAAAATGAGTGAATTATATTATTACAGAGTTACAGAAAATGAGACTTTAGTGATTAATGCAGACGTTTATAGTGAAAAAGATACAGACAGGAGAACCAGAACAAAGACTGTCTCTCACCTACAATATTCATCAAGACATTCTAGCTGGATTTTGTACGTGTGTGTGTGTGTATTATATATATACAACATTATTACAAAACCATCCATATTGTTTACTCTTTCTATATAGCTGAAATGAGAAACACTTTCTAATAGAACAAATGTTACCAGAACATTAGAGGGGGAAAAAAGGTTATCAGAACTGAATTTTATTGTGAGGAAGGCCCCTTGTCGATTGATTTCAGACGGCAAGCAGGTGCTCGGAGCATTTGCTGGGAGTGTAATTTGGCTTGTAAACACACTCGTTCCTGGTAGTGTTGCATTTTGTGCAGCGACACTGGCGTGCCACCGGATAAAAGAAGAGCGGGTCAATGTGGACAGGACAGCCGGGCATCTTAGCAGAATGATAGACCAGAGAACGATGCATGCATCCTCTCTGAATCAGGAAACGCTTGCCCACAAATCCTCTCACGTTAGTGTCCTGTCACACACACAAAATCGACAGTGTAGTACAGTATATAATATTTAGTATATTTATATATGCAATATATTGAATCTAATTTACAACAATGCTAAATAGTATGTATTTATACTTATTACTAATTATTGCCTATTACATATTTATTCGTATTGTTTAGTTGTAATATATAATAGTATATTTTCTTCTGATATAATGTGCAGAGTAAAAAAATCCAAGATAATAAAAAACAAGAAATCAAAAGCTTTGTTCCATCAAATTCCACGTGTTTCCTATTTCGTTTTTTTAGATATATTTAATGAAGAAAGTGTGTAATGTTATTATTATCCGATTTCACATGTCGTCTTTTGATATTCAGGTTCATAAACTGCATGGACAAAATATAAAATGGCTAATGAAAGAGAATTGTTCTTATTATTGGTGTTTCACATATGTGTCATGTCCCCAGAACAAGTCGTTTATGAATACTACTCTCTCATTTTTATGATTCACTTTCTGTCTCTCTCTCTCTCTTATATATACTGTATATTTATACCTTTGTCTCTCTTTCCTTCTCACACACAAACACACACCACACCGCATACACAAAAAGCATATGCTAGATCAACTATACTCATAAAATGATATTTTTTAAAAGAAGTTATTGCTTTTTTATATATAATTAAATAGATTATATTCAATGGTATATTAAATATGTTCTAAATAATTCTTATGCTCCACTGCACTTCATTGTCAAAAATGACTTCGTTCATCATGAAACCTGCTTATCTCTGGTATCGAATTGGTCAGTTGTCCAAATTATTTGACACATTATCACACATAAGAAACATGCTGCATGATTGTATTGTGAAGCTGTCAGGCTCTTACCTGTGTGAAGCACATTCCGCTGCACATGGTGGTGTTGACGGCCATGCAGTGACCGCACTCGTGTCTCTCCACGTACAGCGTGTAGTTCTTCAGAGAGCAGGCCAGGAGAACATCTCCTCCCAACACAAACAGCAGACTGCAAAACAACATCTTCATCTTCATCCAACACCTCTTCCAAACACAAAATCTTCCTCTGGAGGATTGCTGATGTTCTGGTCAGTGCAGTTGGGAATCCTTCTTTTAACAAGTCAGATTTTGATTTGGTCAGAGTTCCTCGTGTGCTTTTAGACTCACACTAATCCCAAATGATCTGCGTGCCTCTTATCTTGCGGTGCAGGGAGGGAGGGTCTTCAGGTTGATCCTCCACGCTGGAAATCAACGTGACACCGGGCTGTACAGCCCCGGTCATCTCTTGATGTAACTCTTGATGTAAAACCAAGTGTTCAGCGGAATTGGTAATTATGCATCGCTATTTATAATGGCGAACAAAGGCATCCCGATGAAAATCAAGGAAAACATCTTGCATTTTATTTTATTACCACCGTGACTTTAGCATTTAAGAATAATTGTATCTTGATAAAATAAATAATAGCAAATAATTGCAAATTTGACATCAAAACAGAATAATCTCCCTTTATATATGAACATCTAAACTTCATCGCAGTTGCAATTTCTAAAGGTCAGCTATGTATATATATAGATAGATAGATAGATATACACACACACACAGTGTTAGGAAGGTTACTTTGGAAATTTAGTGGGTCACAGATTACAAGATACCCTATTTAAAATGTAATAAGTAGTGTAACTATTTCAATTACTTTGTTAAAGTAATGTAACTGATTACATTTCATTACTTTTTGATTACTTTTCTAAATTTCCAGCGAATGTGTTCAACTGTTACTCATTTTGAAACATTTAAAGCAGGCAGGGTTAACCTCACAGTAGTGCTCAACACTGATTACTGTCAGACTTTCAGAATCCTTCATCACGTGAATTAAGATAATAATAATTCCATTTTAAAGCACAGTCATCGCAAAATCAGACTTTAGCAGCTCTTTTTACTTTGAGATCATTCTAATACAGATTTAAAATCATAATAAGAAATAGTTTCATAGCTATCACACTGTTTTTGACATCAAATCTTTGCATAGCTGTGACAGGAGACACTGGAATCTAACAATGCCTCGGAAAAAAAAGTTAATCTTAAAATTGTGTGTGTGTGAGGAAAAATAAAACTATTATTAAGATGTGACCCTTTGTAATTCTTAACATTTTCATAAGTAAGTTTAATTTAATTACACTTTTTTTCTCTGTAACTGTAATGGATTACAGTTACATTTAATATACATCTTACGTCTTTAATATAAAATATACATATAATTTATTAACTCTTTTTTTTTTGTTTATGTTTTTATGTTACATTTTACATTGGGTGTTTGCTGAGCTTCCCATGCAAACTGATTTCTCTGTGTCAAACTAATCAACTTTCGGCTATTTTTTAATTAATTATTACAGTCATGTTCTTGTTGCATTTCTTGCCATGTCCCAGTTCTGTTGGCTAAATGGGGTTGTGTGCAGAGACAGCAGGCATGTTTCACAGGTTTCGTTGTTTACCTGGACAATGTTTTGCTGTTCTAATCCCCACTAATGCTTCCCTCTCCACTGCTGGGACATGTGCTGCCACAGCATGCTTCCAAATCTCAGCTATAGCAACCGCACCGAACCACACTCACGCTCAAATACACACAGAGAAATAAAACATCCAAAATAGCTCAATAACTCAATCAAAGTGTTAGACATAAATATATGCTTAATGGATTACACAGCAAAAAAACACAGTACAAAATGTGCTTCATGATTTTAATAAACTGGGTTTATTCAAAACAAAAAAATATTATTTATTTAATTATAAGACAGAATAATCCTGACTACATTAGTTTACTATTAAAATAGTTCCTTAAGACAATAACTGCACATTATCACTTTTTACAGTATTTTTGGGTGTATATTAAAGAACTAATGTTTGTTAATGTTATCAATTAAAGTTGTTATGTAAGCAATAAGACACTCGAGGCGTGTTGTATCGAGCACGTCTCGGGTACCTTATTGCTTTTATAAAACGGTTACCACACAATAAAAAAATATTTCCGCTATAAAATCCTGACTGTAACAGTAATGGCAAGAAAATGTTTCCATATAACATGCCTCGTCTTATAGAGCTCAAATTAAAACAGAGAATAGGAACTGTTCTCATCTGCTGTGTCATTTTTTTTTTAAACACCATATATGATATTTTCTCAAACACATACATCTGCTTATCTCTCAGCATGAGAAAAAGTCTGTTTTCCGTCTTTTAGTTTAAAACAGACAAATCGGCACAGCGCGAGTTTGCAAGCATCATTACAGTGTAAATGGACACACAGAATCATACCTGAAACAGAAAACTAATAAATACAGTAATATTTCCTCCACACTTTGGAAACTGGGGGCTTTTCACAAAGTTGCGTGCACACATCAACATATCAGGAAGGCCATGGCCTCAAAATTAAAGGTGAATAATGCAACATAACGCCAGCATTCAGCATTTTGCTGAAATACATAATTCATGGAACAGTTTTGATGCTATATTATTGATTGTTTATGTTGCTAAGGGTGTTGCAGTGATACATATATATATATATATATATA